TCCACAAGTCTTAAAGTTGCCAAGGTTGAAGACCCCTACTCTAGAAGGTAGATATCACATTCTGAATTATCTTGAAATGTCAACAAAGAAGCTGAAAATAAGTGAATGTTTATTTATTTATTTATTTAATGGTTTGATTTATATGCCGCCCTTCTCCAGAGACTCAGGGCAGCTTACAATGCGTTAAGCAATAGCCTTCATACTTTTGGTATATACCTGCTTAGTAGGGCTTTTGCCTCCCCCCCTCTAAGCGGTGTTCTTTTTATACAAAGTCATCTTATTGCCCTCACAATCCGGGTCCTCATTTTATCTACCTCAAAAGGATGGAAGGCTGAGTCAACCTTGAGCCTGGTGAGATTTGAACTTGCAGTAATTGCAGGCAGCTGGCAGCTAAGTGCTACTTAACAGCACTTTAGTCCGCTGCGCCACCAAGGGTCCTGTTCCAGAATGGAGAGAAATGCAAATCCTTCTTTGAGGAATCCAATGGGCAGAGAAAAGTAGTTTGGTAATAGTAGAAATCTAGACAGTATACTAAAAAGTAGAGACATCACCCTGCCAACAAAACAGGGGCGGGTTTCAAAATCCATCGCTACCGGTTTGCTCGTGGACGCACACATGCTCACGCGCACGAGCAACACTTCTGTGTATGCACAGAATCTCTGGGCGGGTGGGCAAAGCTTCCCACCCCACCACTACTGGTTCGCCTGATCCGGGACAAACTGGTAGCAACCCACCACTGCAACAAAAGTGCGTATAGTCAAGGCTATGGTTTTCCCTGTTGCAATATATGGCTGTGAAAGTTGGACCATAAGAGAGGCTGAGCGCCAAAGAATTGAGGCCTTTGAACTATGGTGCTGGAGAAGACTCCCTTGGACTGCAAGGCGATCAAACCGGTCAGTCCTAGAGGAGATCCACCCTGGCTGCTCTTTAGAAGGCCAGAGCCTGAAGATGAAACTCAAATCCTTTGGCCACCTAATGAGAAGGAAGGACTCCCTGGAGAAGAGCCTAATGCTTGGAAGGACTGAGGACAAAAGAAGAAGGGGATGACAGAGAACGAGGTGGCTGGATGGAGTCACTGAAGCAGTAGGCGTGAGCTTAAATGGACTCCAGAGGATGATAGAGGACAGGAAAGCTGGAGGAACGTTGTCCATGGGGTCGCGATGGGTCGGACACGACTTTGTAACTAACAACAGCAACAAAATAGTAGAAATGAAAAAGATCTAAAACTAGGAACCAATTGAGAATAGAGGGTTGGACTAGAAGACCTCCAAGGTCCCTTGCAACTCTTATTTTTCTATACAGCTAGTCCTCGACTTACAACAGTTTGTTTACTAACTGTTCAAAGTTACCCGTTTAACATTTTTATTTGAGTTATGAAATATTATAAGATACAAAATGCAAAAGTAAATAGGAAAACAGTAGGGAGGAAGAGGGAGAAGAGAAGTGAGGGAGGATAAGAAAAGAAAAAGAAGCATTGACTTCCGACTCTCCCTGTTGCAGTAAAATAAAGCATTAACACCAAATCACAACTTTTTGCTTTTTCATAATAATATGAACAAGCAATTTCTATAAAGATCTATCAGTCTAATTGGTAAAACCCAAAGTCAGCGTTTCATTCTTTTCCATAACAAGCACTAAGTTCAGAAGCGGTTTCCACATGGAAACAAAAGTACTTCTCTTCTTTTCTTTAATCAAAGTAGTCAGTCTTGCCATTTCGCCAACTCAACTTCTGCAGCCATTCATCCATAGTAACGATCGAAGTGTCCTTTCATTTTTGTGCATACAATAGTCTTGCTGTTATCAACATATATAGCAGTGATGACTAACCTTTCTGCCATCACGTGGGGAGGGTGAAAATGGCTTTCCCCCCCCATCCCCCTGGAGGACCTCCGGAGGCCAGAAACAGCCCATTTCCCAACTTCCAGTGGGACCGGAAGGCCCCAAAATCAGCTGGCTGGTGCACGCATGTGCACTGGAGCTGAGCTACGGCAATGCTCGTGTGCCCACTGATACGTCTCTGTGTGCCACCTGTGGTAACCGTGCCATAGGTTTGCCATCACGGATATATAGGGTTAAAGTTCCAATTTTTTTCTCCAGTTCTTTTTCCATTAGGCCCTGACCATTCAAAGTTACAATGTCTCTGAAATATGTGACTTATAACCATTTTTCACAGGTATGACCTTTGCAGCATTCCCATGATCAAAATTCAGATGCTTGGCAACTGGCTCCTGTTTATGACCATTATGGTGTCCCAGGATCCTGGGATCCTCTTTTGCGACCTTCTGACAAGCAAAGTCAATGGGGAATCCAGATTCACTTAACAGTTGGGTTACTTAACTTATCAACTGCGGTGTTTCGCTTAACAACTGTGGCAAAGAAAGGTCGCAAAACAGGGTAAAACTCACAAATGTCTCAGTTAACAACAGAAATGTTTGGGCTCCATTGTGGTCATAAGCTGAGGATTACCTGCATTTTACTGACTCTGTGATTCTGCAAAAAAAATTTTTTTAATGACCAATGTCCCTTCTGGAACGCAGCCACTGAATGAAGGTAATCAATCGCGGGAAATAATTGTGCAATTTGTTTCTGTGGTGGCCTGATTGCATCTCCCATACTATGCCAAAGGTTGGGCACCACAAAGAACCACAAAGGCCAGCTGGAACAAATGCAGAGAAGTAGAAGCACATCTAGAGCAGATTCGCAGCATTTTAAATAGCATCTTCAGAGCCCTCCAACCATGTTTAGGCCAAAGCAGGGGTGAAATGCTCCCAGTTCGGACCGGATCGCCCAATCTGGTAGTGATGGAGGCGGGTGGTTCGGAGAACCGGTAGCAAAAATCCCTGCCCCCCCCCATGCCCAGCTGAGCCGCACAATCATCAGAGGCTTTTTCTTTTAATTTTTAAAAGCATTTTTTCTACAATCTCTTCAGCTGAAAAAAATGCTTTTAAAAGTAAAAAAAAAAGCCTCTGATGATCGTGCGGCTCAGCTGGGATCGTCAAAGGGATCGTCAGCTGATGATCCCAGCTGAGTTGCCTAATCAGCAGAGGCTTTTTTTTCTTTTAAATGCCTCTGATGATCCCAGCTGAGTTGCCTGATCGGCAGAGGCTTTTAAAAGAAAAAAAGCCTCTGCCGATCAGGTAACTCAGCTGGGATCGTCAGAGCCTTTTGAAAGCATTTTTTTACAACCTCTTCACCAAAGAGATTGTAGAAAAAAATGGTTTTAAAAGAAAAAAAATTGGCCACGCCTACCAGTCACATTACCCCACTACCATCAAGCCACGCCCACAGAACCGGTAGTAACAAATTTTAGATTTCACCACTGGAATTTCACCACCATAACAGCAATGTGGAGAGAGGCTTTACAGATAGTCCTCATCTTATGACCAAAACTGAGCCCAAAATTTCTGTTACTGAGAGGGACAGCTGTTTGCCCCATTCTTGCTACAATTGTTAAGTGAATCATTGCAGTTGTTAATAAAATAATTGTTTAGTGAACCTGGCCTCCCCATTGACTTTTGCTTGTCAGAAGGTTGCAAAAGGGATCACATGACCCCCAGGGCCATTTCAATGGTCATAATTATGAACCAGTTTTGCCAACCGCCAATCACGGGTTTTGATCACGTGACTGTGGGGGATGCTGCAATGGTCATTAGTGTGAATTAAATCGTTATAAGCCACTTTTTCCAGTGCCCTTGTGACTTTGAACGGTCATTAACTGAATAGTTTTAACTAGAGGATTACCTGAATATCCCTGCACGGATGGCCCTGGGTGATGCTGGGAAGATTCTGGAGAGAAATCACCTGTGTGGGTGTGAAGGTATGGCACAATTTATCTCGAGAGGGAAAAAAGACAAAGATGGAGAGCAGGGACAGGAGATGATAGCCAAATAATTGGATCCATCCAAGCTGTTTTCTGTACAGCCATAGTTTGCCACTGATTTTCTCTTGTTCTCTTGGATCACAGCCCAACCCACCTTTGTGGCATTTCCTGGTGGTCCCTCATCCAATACTAATCCAGTCCAAATTGTTTTGCATGTAAGGCCAAAACAAGGGTTCTTTTCTCCCACTTCCTCTCCTCCAGATGTAGCCACCTGCAGAGAAACCCTGCAACCCAAACCTTCCTTTGATAAATGACTGCCCTCCTTTGGAAGAAAACAGAGAGCTCGAGCAAGAAAGCCAAGCCAAATGATGTCCCAAAGGTACTGAAAAAGCATCTTTGGGACAACTATGACCTGGATGACTGAGAATCTCTACAGACCCCGAAGCCAAAAGGCTTATCCAACAGAGCAGAATAACACCTCGCCTCTGTTCTATGCGCAAAAGAGATCCTAGCAAGCCTTTCCCCCAAATTAGGAAATGGAATTCTTTCTTCCAACGCGGTGCAAACTGTGATTTATGAACCGAGCGAACGCGGAGAATCATAACGCCCTAAACTGGGAAAGACAAATTAATTTTGCAAATTAATATTTCGATGGAAAAACTTTCCTTTCAACATGCAAAAGAACAGGAAACCCACTTAAGAACCTCTCACCCCTCGTCCCCCCAACGCTGCCCTTACTCCCGATCAGACTCGCACGTCCCGGGGGTTCAGGATGGAGCTCCCAATCACCTACTACCCTTAGCGGCCGGGGATGATGAGCAGTGTAACTCCTCACCTCCAGAGAGCGCCTGGCGGGCGGTGGGAGAGAGGAGAGAAGCTTTCAAGGAAAAGGAAGGTCGGATTAGCTGAATTAAGCCGAGCGAAGTCGTTCGGAGCGGGCGGGGGGCAGCTCGGTCCGGGGGCGCCTCGTATATTCCGGTTGCATCTTTTGCCAAGAGATGCCGGGAAGGGAGTGGGGGGGGAGGGCGGGGGCGGGAGGGCAACCGGGTTTGAAAGTCGCCAGTGATGAGACCGACATCCAGCTCCCCAAACTGGCTAAAATCGCGCTCTGCACATGCTCGGAGGCAGAAGGCAGCTGCTTTCTGCACGGTCCTCAGCCCGGCCACCGCCGCATACGCACCTGCAATCCACCGCGGACCGTCCGATTTCTCTGCAAAGATCGCAACTCTGTCCCAAGTTGCTTCTCGGCAAGCGCTGCCTTCTCTCTTTAGCTGGTCAGCTCCCCGCCCAACTGTTGAAGTTCCGTTCAGGACAAGCTACCCTCCCTTCCCCGGCATTGGTGGAGTAGAGGCCGTATCGCGCATTGACCCACTTCTCTCGCCCATGGATCAGCCACGCTGGCTCTGGGGCCGGTTTCTGGCTCGGTCCGCATTGACAAGAAAATTGGATTAATATTTCATATTCTCAGGGTAACCCAGCTAGAACGGAGGCGGCCACTAGGGGGCAACAAGCCCGTCAGGGGTCTCAATAAAGAAGAATATTTGTAGCTCCGCATTGAAATGAAGGGTCCCTGATGCTCCCTGATTTTGGTTGTTGTTTTGCAGACGTTTCCCTACCCAAACTAAGTAGCACCATCAGTGCGAGTAAGGAATGGGGTTTGCTCTCAATTTATATTCTAGTGGCTTGCGTGGTCAGTGTTGGTAGGAATGCTTTTTTATTTGGGGGGGGGTCTTTGGTTGTGTCAGAAGACATGAATTTTTTTTAATTTCACAACATATGGACAGACTTAACCACACTTTTGATTGGGAAACTAACAGTAACAGAGTTGGAAGGTACCTTGGAGGTCATCTAGTCCAACCCCCTGCTCACACCAAGAGACCTATTATACTAGGGATTTGAACCGCCAAACTGTCAACCTTTCTGATCAACAAGATCAGTGTCTTCACCACTGAGCCACCTAGTCAGGTTTAAACTGTGACCATCCTAGAACAAACCAAGTCCAAAAATGCTAGAAAATTCCGGGAAACCTCGCAATCTGACAAATTGTCCATCAATGGACAAAAAGACATAAACAACATCTACATACTGTGCAAAAGAGACAAAAAGGAATGAAAAGACTGAAATACCTTCCCACCCACAATCAAACATAGACATTAACACGAAGATTATCATCACACCAACAATCAAGAAGCAAACAATATCCTAATCTGACAGGAACTGTCAATAAACAGTTATAATAAATAAATAATAAACAGCCCAAACAAAGAATGCCCACCCCCGAAGATCACTCACACCAACAGTGACAAAGCAAGCGACTAGAATATAAATTGAGAGCAAACCTCATTCCCCACTAGCCTTGATAATGTTACCTAGTTTGGTAATAAAATGTCTACAAGGAAACAACCAAGCTTAGAGAGCACTGAGGATCTCTTGAGGTCGGGGTCTCATTTTTGCCATCTTTACAACATTTCTGTCTGGTACACTAGTTTGAGCCATGGCATGGAGCACTTCCTGATGATGTCAGGATTTGAATGTGGATCTCTCCATCTTTCCTCCTCCTGTCTTCCAGTCTAGTGCAATTTCTCACTGCAGTAATAAGTATAGGGTTAATGGGTAAAAGAGAGAGACCTTATTAAAACTCTTTAAAGAGGGTATTTTTGGGGGGAGTTGTCTTGTGTTTTTTTTTAAATTCTATCTTTTTGTTCAGTCAATTCTGGGATGCTGGAAGATGCTGATGAAATGGGGGGGGGGAGATTTCTTATCATGAACCGACCAACAGCCCAGAGGCACTTTGGACTACAAATCCTCCATAAAAGTAATAAAATAAGAGTAAAGGTAATACTGTCATGCCAATTAATGTCTTCTGGCTTTGCAGATGGTGGTAGATATAATACCACTGCTTTTCTTGCACAGAAAACCAACCTTGTAAAGAGTGGAAGTATTGTTTAGAGAGGACAAAACATAAGAGTTTTACTAGGCACTTCCTGGGCCTGTTGAATTTAACAGCAGGAATCCACAAGTTTTTTAAAGGTGTGGGTCACTTTCCTGCCCCTTGCCACTATTAAAACCTACAGTACAATCTGGAAATTAGGGGACAGATATTGTGGCAGATATTTCATTCCCCAAATGAGGTAATATTATTGTGATATTACCAAGTTTGGTCAATAAAACGTCTGCAAGAAAACAACCAAGCTCAGAGAGCACCATGGACACCTCATTTCAACTCTCAGTTACAAATATTCTCCTTTACAGGTAGTCCTTGACTTACGACCACAATTGTGCCTAAAATTTATGTTGTTAAGTGAGAAATTTGTTCAGTCAGTTTTGCCCCATTTTACAAGTTTTCTTGCCACATTTTTTTTTTAATTTGATTTATATGCCGCCCTTCTCCGGAGACTCAGGGCGGCTTACAGTGCTTTAAGCAATAGCCTTCATACTTTTGTATATTTTATACAAAGTCAGCTTATTGCCCCCACAAACTGGGTCCTCAATTTACCCACCTTAGAAAGGATGGAAGGCTGAGTCAACCTTGAGCCTGGCGAGATTCGAACTTACTTTAATTGCAGACAGCTGGTGTTAAATTACAGTGTCTTGTCTGCAGAGCTATCCAGGCTCATTTGTTAAGCAATCATTTGTTAAGTGAATCACTGCAGTTGTTAGATTAGTAACACGGTTGTTAAGTGAATCTGGTTTCTCCATTGACTTTGTATGTCAGAAGGTCACAAAAAGGGGATCAAATGACCTTGGGACTCTGCAATGTCAAAAATATGGATCAGTTGTCAAACATCTGAATTTAAGTCACATGACCATGGGGATGCTGCAATGGTCATAAGTGTGAAAAATGGTCATAAGTCACTTTTTTCAGTGCTGTTGTAACTTCAAATAACTATTGTAAGTGGAGGACTACCTGTACTGGTAACCTGGAAATTTTTTTGTGGCCACAAGTAAACTTTAGAAGACCACAGTGCCTTTGTGAGCAAAACTTACATCATTCTCCAATAGTAAAACTTCCAGGCCAGTCTGACCCTGCTCCTTAATTTAGATGCGGAATAGCATTTTTTGCTCCAGCACTTGGAAACATTTGGACCTCTGTGCCTTTACAAGTAGTTCTTGACTTACAACCATTTATTTAGTGGCATGGTCCTCACAGTTACGTCCACTGCCGTGTCCCCACAGTCACATGATCCCGATCCAGGTGCTTAGCAATCAGCTTGCCTTTATGACAGTTTGAGTGTCCCGAGATCACGAAGTCAATGTGAAGGAAAGGTTGCAATGACGTCATGTGATGTCTTGATTAACAACTGCACTACTTAATGAATTTTCCGGTCCCAATTTTGGTTGTATGTTGAGGGCAACCTAGCAGCCATTCACCCTAGGACCATGATGGGGAACCTATGGCACACATGCCACAGGTGGCATGTGGAGTGAGGCGTTGCCCTTGCTCAGCTCCACCGTGCATGCGTACATCGGTCAGCTGATTTTCAGCTGGCCCTGCCTCCCCCTCCCAGGAGTCTCCACGCGGCCCGTTTTGGATGCCAGGTAAGTACAGGGCTTGCACAGAGGCTGTGGGAGGGCATTTCTGGCCTCTGGAGGGCCTCCGGGGGGGGGTGAGGAAGGATGTTTTCACCCTCCCCAGCCTCCAGGAAAGCTTCTGGAACCTGGCGTGGGCGAAAAACGGGCCTTCCAGGCCCACCGGAAGTCAGGAAACGGGCAGTTTCCGGTCTCTGGAGGGCTTCTGGGTGGGGTGGGGGCGGCCGTTTTCAGCCTCTGGAGGCTTTAGGTAGGTCTGCTAGGCCCAAAATGGGGCATGGGGGCATGTCGTGAGCGCATGCACGGGGGGGCATTGAATTATGGGTGTGGACATGTGCGCAACCCCCATGCACTCCCCCCCCCCACTTTTGGCACACAATGGCAAAATGATTAGCCATCACTGCCCTAAAAGGATGGAGTCTATAATGGCAGAGGGCCAAAAGAACAGGTTCCTAATTCAGCCATGCTGAATAGTGACATGTAGCTACAACTGGAAGGAGGCTACATGCAATGCACAATGAAAAGGAGATCATTCAGGTCTGCTCTTTGGACGTGGCCTTGCATAAGATTATTTGCACAAGATCCAATCTTGCTGATCCAGCAGTAAATTAACTGATTGGAGGTCACTGATGCCCAGTTCAGTGGAATTTACATTATTTGGTTTTCCTTCCTTCCTTTCTTTCCTTCTTCCTTCCTTCCTTCTTTCCTTCCTTCGTTCAAACACTATTGAACTCTGATGAAAAACTAATTAAGAAGGTATATAACTTTTTACTGAATTTTAAAATGGAAAATGAACAAATAAAAGATACAATGGTGGTACAATGGGAAACTTTTTTTGGCTATAACATATAACTAGAGAAATGGCAAAACCTATGGGAAAGAAACTATAAATTAACAATGGCAACCTCTTATAAAGAAAATTTGTATAAAATGTTTTACAGTTGGCATTTACCACCTGCTAGGTTAGTGAAAATGTTTAAAAATATGTCTAGCAAATGTTGGAAATGTAACCAAAAAACAGGCATATTTTATCAAATGTGGTGGACTTACATCAAAGCAAAAAAAATTTGGGCAAAGATAGACAGGTGGCTAGAAAAGATGATAGGGAAACATGTAGATTTTAAACCTGAAATATTTTTATTAGGTATAACATCAGAAAAAATTGATTAAGAAAAGTATATACTTAATATTACATGTCTTAACAGCAGCAAGGATTATATTCGCACAATACTGGAAAAATGAAGATATACCATGAGATGAAGAGATAGGAAGATATTAGATTATGCAGAAATAAATAGATTGACATTGAAAATTAAACAGAAAGAAGATGTAGAATATTATCAGACATGGAATCTATTTTACCAATGGTTGGAAAAAAGGGGTGGAGTGGAGATTAAGAATGTAAATTTATATTGTTAAGCAAATTAAATATCCAGACAACGCAATGTTTATTAAGCAATAAGAAATGTATTTAATAGAAAATCAATTAAAAAAAAGATTTTCTCTGCCTGTGTCTTTTTCTCAGCCCGAGATTTTAACAGGATAACAACACAGTTCGAGGCTGCATTAACAGAGGGATAGAATCAAGATCACATGAAGTGCTAATACCACTTTATAATGCTTTGGTAAGGCCACACTTATAATGCTGCATCCAATTTTGGCCGGTATGATATAAAAATGATGTTAAGACTATGGAAAGAATGCAGAGAGCAGCAATAAAGATGATTAGGGGATTGGAGGCTAAAATATATGAAGAACAGTTGCAGGAACTGGGTATGACTAGTCTAGTGAAGAGAAAGACCAGGGGAGACATGATAGCAGTTTTTCCAATATCTCAGGGGTTGCCACAAAGAGGGAGTCAAGCTATTCTCCAAAGCACCTGAGGGTA